TACAGTTTAACAAAAAGAAAAAAAAATCCCATTTGAAAGACCTGTTAAATAGTGATTTAAAGATTTTTTAAAAACTTTTAAATAATTCTTTTAATGTGTTTTCTTGACTATAAGAGAAATAAATATTCATTTAGTAAAATACAAAGAAAAATGCCACAGTCAGCTGGGCATGTTGACTCATTCCAGTAATCTCAGCACTAGGGTGGCAGAGGTAGAAGGCCATGTTCCAAGTTTAAGGCCAGCCTGGGCTATAGATAAAGACTGTGTATTAAAAAATAAGCACTATACTCATTTTGCCTGCTTACTTGGCCTAAGAAATGAATTATATGAAAACCAAAGCTCAAGCTGGCTAAGTCTAAGCCAGTCTATGTTGGAACAATACAATAACCCTCAAAAGACTGTGCATATCTAAAGTTGTTTTGGGGGCTGGAGAGCGATCTCAGCAGTTAAGAGTGTGGTCTGCTGTTGTAGGGGACCCAAGTTTTGTTTCCAGCACCCATGTCAGGTGGCTCACAAATGCTCCAAGGAATCTGACTTCCTCTTCTGGCCTCTGTGGGCATCTGCACTCACATGAGCATACCCACACACATACACAGTTAAAAATAAAATAAAATAAAATAAAATAAAATAAAATAAAATAAAATAAAAGGGTGTACTGGAACACGCCTTTAATCCCTGCACTGGGGAGGCAGAGGCAGAGATCTCTGTGAGTTCAAGGCCAGCCTGGTCTACATAGTGAGTTCCAGTACAGCTGGGGCTACAGGGAGACCCTGTCTCACAAAGACCAAAAAAATAAATAAATAAAATAAATATAATCTTAAAGAAAGTTCTTAGGCCCTGGGGTCTGAGGCCTATATTGCTTTTTCCTCTGCTACAATGCCAGTGGATTCCACTGGCCAAGTCCTAAAAAGGCTCTATGTCTGTGCTGAATAGGTGTGGGAACTATGAGAGCTCTCTGCTTGCTGCTTAAGGGCCCCTCCCAATGAAATCTAAATCTGAGGCTTCCAGATGAATGGAATCTGATTAAGCTAAACGCTAGGTCCACTTACCACACAGCATATCTCGTTACATTTATGCCGTCCACACAATCGTTTCTTGTTACACCGCTTGTCGCACATAAATGTAGCATCTGTTATAGCCAATTAAAAAGAAAAAGACAAACATTCAAAGGATGTGAACATTCATTCAACACATGTGAAGGACCACAGGCTGAAAAAATACAAATGCAATAATGTAAATAAATTACTGATGATGAAAATGCCTTTAGAATATTACTTTCACCTGTCAGAATAGAAGAAAAGCAAATAGTACAGGTGTTTAGAGAAAAGGTGTAATCACACTTGGCAGATGGTTATACATACATATGTTATCTATCAAAAATTACTTGGAGTCTAGAGAAGTACTCAATGTCTGGAGTACATATGTATCTATCAAAAATTTACTTGGAGGCCCTAAGTTTGATTCCTAGCAACACATGCGTGTACGCGTGCACGCACGCGCACACGCACACACACACACGCACACACACACACACACACACACACAGTGTAATTCCATGTTAAGGGATCTTCACATATACTTTCAAAAGTGGGGGCTGGAGAGATGCTTCATCAGTTAAACACTGACTGCTCTTGCAAAAGACCCAGGTTCGATTCCCAGCACCTACATGGCAGCTACGAACCGTCCTTAATTCCAGTTCCAGGGGAATCTGACGCCCTCTTCTGACCTCCGTGGCACTGCATGACACAAGTGCACTCACATGCAGGCAATACACTCATAACATAAAAAGTAACTAGGGGAATACAGGTTAGGCTCGGTGTATATAACACTTGTCTAGGATGTTATAACAAGTGTTATAACACTTGTCTAGGATGTGTGAGGACCTGGGTTCAATTCCTACCAGAAAGAAAAAAATCCGAAAAGTTGGCACACCAAAGGCACATATGAAAGGGGAAAACATACAAACTCAAAGCTTTTGTGCATCAAATTGAAGGACACCACAGAGAATGTGAAGTGTCAACCCACAAAATGAAAGAAAATATTTGCAATAAGCATCTAAGATTGAGATATATGAAAAAAATATAGACAATAACAAGACCCAATAATCCAATTTAAAAAACTGGCAAATGATTTGAAGAGATCCTCTCCCAGAGAAGATACACAAATGCCTATGAGGAACATAAGAGTTATGATGGGGATAATTCCAGGCTGGCCTTGAACTCACAGAAATCTGCCTGCCTCTGCCTCCCAAGTGCTGGGATTAAAGGTGTGCCACACCGTGCCGGGCTTTTGTTATCTTTATTTTATGTGTACGAGTGTACTACCTGCATGTATGTACAATACCCTCTGAGGTCAGAAGAGGGTGTCAGGTTCCCTAGAACTGGAGTTATAAACGGTTGTTAGCCACCATGTGGGTGCTGAGAATCAAAACTGGGTCCTCTGCATGAGCAGCCAGTGCTCTTAACCACTGAGCCACCTCTCCAGGCCATGATGGGTATAACTTTTTTTTTTAATTAATTAATTTTTTTATTTTATGTGTATAAGTGTTTTGCTTGCATGTAAGTGCACCCATGTTGTGCAGGGCCCACAGAGGACAGAAGAGGGCACTGGATACCCTGGAACTGGAGTTATGGATGGTTGGTAGCTGCCATGTGGGGACTGGGATTCAAATCCAGGTCTTCTGCCAGAACAGCCAGTGCTCTTAACCACGAGCCATCTCTCCAGCCCAATGGGTACAATTTATAAAACAGGAAATAATAAGAACTGTCAAGAATATGGAAAATTAGAATCCTCATGTCACTGTTGGGAATATAAAACAGTATAGCTACTGTGGCAAACAGTGACAGTTGTTCAAAAAATTGATACAGAACTACTTAGGACCCAGTAATTTCCCTCATAGGTAAATATCCTGAGGAATCAGAAACACCAGAGCAGATGTAGCACAACTGGTGCAGTGCTTGCTTAGATGCACAGTGCCTAGGGTTTGATCCTCAGTACTTCATAAACCAGGTGTGGTGGTGGTACCTGTAATCCCAGGACTCAAAGTACAGGCAGGGAGGATCAGAAGTTCAAGGTCATCCTTAGCTGCAGAGAGTTCAAGGCCAGCCTGGGATACAGGAGAACCTATCTTTTTTTTTTTTTTAATTTTAATTTTATGTATATGAGTATATTGCCTGCATGTACGTGAGTGCACCTGTGTCGTGAAATGCTGCGGACATCAGAAGAGGGCTTTAGATTCCCCTGGAACTGGAGTTAAGGACAGTTCGTAGCTGCCATGTGGGTGCTGGGAATCAAACCCGGGTCCTCTGCAAGAGCAGTCAGTGCTCTTAACCGCTGAGCCATCTCTCCAGCCCCATGAGAACCTATCTTAAAACAATCAAAATAGTTTTGGGTGTGGTGGTTTACACCTGTAATCCCAGCATCAGGAGGCTGAGACAAGAGAACTGGTACACAGTTAAGGCCAGCCTGGTCATGAAGTGAGCTGCAGACTGGCTTGGGCTACAGAATGAGACCCTGTCTCAAGAATAATAAACAAAATTAAAATTAACAAATTTTAAAACTGCAAAGTTACTCAAAATATATGTATAAGTTGGGCATAGTGGCATATGTCTATAATCCCAACACTCAGGAGGTAGAGGCAAGAGGCTCAGAAGAAGTTCAAGGTTGCCAGGCGTGGTGGCACACACCTTTAGTTCCAGCAGCATTCAAGAGGCAGAGGCAGATGGATCTTAGATCTAGAGGCTAACCTAGGCTAGAATGCCTGTCTCAAAAAACAAAAAAGGAATAAACAAACTCGTATATAAATTTTACAACAGTATTATTCATAGTAGTCAAATGTGGAAACCATGTAAATAGGTATCAGCTATGAATGGATAAATAAAATGCAGTATATTGAACAACAACACAGCACTTAAACACCAATTTATTTTTTGTAAAGATTTATATATTGGGGGCTAGAGAGATAGTTTAGCAGTCAGGAGCACTGGCTGCTCTTGCAGAGGACCCAAGTTCAGTTCCCAGCACCCACATGACACGGCAACTAACAACTGTCTGTAGTTTCAGTTCCAGTTCCAGGGGATTGGATACCTTCTTCTAACCTCCAAGGGCACTGCATGACATGGGTGCACTTATATACATGCAGGCAATACACTCATACAAATAAAATAATTAGAAGATATTAATTTTAAAAAAAGATTTATATATTAAGTGCCATGTGTCTGTGTGTATGAGCATGCATATGTGTGGGTGTACATGCCTGTGTGCACATGCTGAGGCCAGAAGAGGGTATCAGGTGTCCTTTATTACTCTCTGCCTATTCCTTTGAGGCAAGGTCTCTCCGTGAACCTGGGGCTTGCATTTGTTTGGCTAGGCTGGAAGCTGGCACACCCATGTTTCTTTTCTCCCCTTACCGTCCATGCTGGGGTTATAGACATGAGTAAGATGCCCTGCTTGTTACAGGGGAGCTGGGACCTGAATTCTGGTCCTTATGAGTGCATAGTAAGCACTCTTAACTGCTGAGTCATCTCTCTAGCCTATTTTTTGTTTGTGTACATGTGCATGCGTGCACGAGTGTGCATGTGTGTGTGCACACATGTGCCAAGAAGGTTAGAGGAAAACTTTTGGGAATCAGTTCTCTCTTTGCACCTTGTTTAGGTGGAGTCTCGCTCACGTCTGCCACTTTGAGGAATACTCTAGACTAGCTGGCTGTGAGCTTCTAGCCAATCGCCTTGTTTCCACTTTCCAGTAGGAAGTGCTGTGTTACAGATACATGCTACTGTACCTGAACACAAGTCATCAGGCCTGTGTGGCTTTTACCAGGTGAGGCATCTCCTTAGTCCTTATTTATTTTAAACAGGGTCTCCCTATGTAGTTCAAGCTAGATTAGAACTTGCTATGTTAGAGTCCTGGGCTGACCTCAAACTTGCAAACCTCCTTTCTCCACTTATAGAATGCTGGGATTGCAGGCACGTACCACTATATTAGGCCTCAATTTATTTATTTTCTTTATTTTTTATTTTTATTTTATGTGTATGAGTATATTGCCTGCATGTAGGTAAGTGCACCCATGTCGTGCAATGGCCACAGAGGACAGAAGAGGTCATCAGATCCCCTGGAACTGGAGTTATGGACATGTGGGTGCTGGAATTCGAACCCAGGTCTTCTGCAAGAACAACCAGTGTTCTCAACCACTGAGCCATCTCTCCAGCCCCTATTTTTAAAATGCATTTCAAAGTAAGCTGTAGATATGAGTGTACTTAGTTCATTTGTTTTAAATGGACTAACTAGAAATAAATTTATGATTTTTTTCCTTTTAAGGCAAAAATTATAAATGTACTAATCTTAAATATATCTTCACTGAATTTAGACAAACATATAACTCAATCCTTTATGAAGACACAGAACATCATCTTCATCCCAGAAAGTTCCTTTGTGCCCCCCTTCACAGTCATACCTTCACTTTTGAGACTGGTACATGGAAGCTCCTATGGAAAAAGAGAAAAACAATAGCTACTTTAAGAGTAACTGAAATGACACCTGCAGAATAATACAAAACCTAACAGTTATTTATCAACTCTAGCCTGGAGTTATCCCAGTTATGTAAGTGCACTTCACTTCAGAGCAGGACCCCAGATTGCCTGACTTTTCATGCACTACAATTCCAACAATCTTTGTGGTCTGGTCTTGAAACTCAGAGCAGAGTAAGAAGTATAAAGTGCAAATGAAAAGGGGCTGCTAAAGATATGCAAAACAAAGAAAAATAATTACCTGGCCAAGGTCCAGGCAGAAAAAAAATACAAAGCAGATGAAAGGATGGAAACTAAAAGATGAGCATGGTGATGCATGCCTGTAATCCCAGCACTTGGGAGGCAAAGGCAGGAGGACTGAATTCAAGGGCAGCCAGAGCAATACAGAGACCCTTTCTCAAAAAATTCATTAAAAATTCTGGGCATGGTAGTACACACCTTTAATCCCAGCACTTGGGAGGCAGAAGAGGTGGATCTCTGTGAGTTCGAGACCAGCCTGGTCTACATGGAGAGTTCCAGGCCGGCTGAGGCTACAGGAAGACCTGTCTCAAAAAAAAACATAATAATGTAGGAGCAAACAGCTCTATACACTTAAAGCACCCCTGACAATACTGCTGAAGTGTAACCAAGAATATAGCAGACTATCAGACTTTGAAACTTCATTACTATGGTTTGAATCATGTGTAACCCCAAAGATTTATCACATGCAATCTGTTGAGCCATGATCCTGTACAGCATGTGTGGTAAAGATGGTGAACTCAATCAATTATATGAGGTGGAAGGCGCCTGGCTACTCAGCATCTGCACCTGAATTTGTAGGTATCATAGATTGCCATGTACTCAGAAACCAGTAAAATGAGAAAAGTTCTTAGTAAAAATGACTCTGATTTTTAAAAGAAGCAATTAAGAGTTGATAATAGATGTGAAGAGGCCTAAGAAACTGAAGCTTCTTAGCTGGGCATAGTGGTGCATGCCTATAATTCCAGCACCAGGGAGGCTGAGACAAGAGGACAGACTAGCATGAGCTACAGACTGAGATCCTGTCTCAAAAAAACAAAACAAAAACCAAACCAAACCAAAAATGAACAAAAACAAAACAAAAAAGAAAGAAAAGAAAAAGAAAACAAAATCTCCCTAAATTTACCTTCACTCCATTATAAGAAACATTTCATGAAAAGAATCCATGTTCATGGAAAATCTGGTTAAATGATGATCATTAGCTTTCTGAAGACATTTTTTTTTGGGGGGTCACTTTTTGAAATAGGGTCTCCCTGTAGCCCCAGCTGGCCTGAAACTCGCTATGTAGACCAGGCTGGCCTTGAACTCAAGAGATCTGCTTGCCTCTGAAGAGTTTTTAACTTGCTAAAAAGGGTTGACAGAATTCATAGACAGTGAATTCCTTTAGCCAACTCTTGCTCACAACAACTATTAAAAAGATGTCCAAACATTCTATTTATATAGCTTTTTAAGAATATACTCATTGCCATGGAGTCCACTATTAGCACGAGGACAGAGCGAATGAGAAGAAAGCAGAAAATGAGACTGCTGGAAAGAACGATGCAAATTTAAAGGAGCTATTCCTAGCTTAATGTCTGCCTTTTTATAACTCTTGCTCACAAAGTTTATTAAGAGCACCTACAGATGTTCAAAAATCTAATGATCATTAAATCTAAGTTCTTTTATGGATGCTACAGATTGAACTCAGAGCTTCATGTAGGCTAAGTACATGCTCTATCACTAAGCTACATCCCCAGCTCTTTCAGTCACTAACCTGGTATTTATAAAGTAAAAAGTAATACTGTTGCTGACATTCATGTGTACTGCTGTGACTTTCAGAAAAAAAAATGCCTCAAAGGCTTAACACAATTTTTTTTTGGTCTTTTTGAGACAGAATCTCCCTGTAGCCCCAGCTGTCCTGGAACTCACTATGTAGACCAAGCTGGCCTTGAACTCAGAGATCTGCCAGCCTCTGCCTCCCGAGTGCTGGGATTAAAGGTGTACTCCACCACGACTGGCTAGCTTAACACAATTTTTGTTATAATATATTACATTTACTTTTCTTTTACTCTGAAGACTACCCATTAAGCTACCTTCCAATTTATGAACTTTATCCTCAAAATCATTTGGGAATCAGTTGTTACCCAGGCCACATTTAACAAACAGAATCAACTGTCTCTACCCCCAGCCTGTGTTCTTCAGGGAAAGTACTGATACGCACTGAAAGGGCCTCCTAGTTGAAGAGCAGGACAGACAGTGTTACTCAGTAGTTCCACCCCAAAACATCCGTAGAAGACTTCATGTCCCTTCTGGTTTGAGACACAGAAATGGGTACTAAAGCCCAACTCCAAAATGGTCAGATGCCCCATTTATATCACAAAGCCCAATCCTAACTACCCAGGGCAAAATTAGAAACTGAAAAATTAGCCTTACCCTAAGAAGAGTTCTGGCATGTGAGAGGTACTTTCTAAGTCTAGTGGAATACCATGATGAGTACCATTACCTATGGCCTTGAGTCACTGAACAAGCTAAGCATATGACACAGAAGCAGAATGGCCACAATGGGTATCACAAAGTATCAATAGACCTCTGGAGAGACTGAAATTGGCAATGTGGGTAGTCAACAATGTCAGTATGACAAAGACTCAATAAAAACTAAACACATGGGCCTGGGGGAGCTCCCTGGCAGGCAATATTCCATGTACACTGATTGTTACACACTGATGCTGAGAAAGTAATGTACTGACTCCATGGGGAAGGACAAATGAAGCTTTACATTTGGTACTTCTTCCCCATGTGCTTCTCCTATTGACTGATTTCAATCTGTGTCTTTTCCTTAAATACAACTGCAACCATGACCGTAACGATTTTCAGTGAATTCTGTGAGTCTGTCTACCAAATTATCAAGCTGTGAGTAGCCTTAGGGGCCACTAACCTTTAGCTCATATCTGAACAAAGTGGTCATGTGGACTAAATTAGCAGTTGTCTGGATTCTTGTGGGTGCACAAGTGAGGACAGTTTCAAGGACTGTGTCCCCTCTAACTTCTTATTTGGCTAAGACCTTGTAACAGTACACTGTGGTTTTTTTTTTCACATTTGCATCTGTAGATGGATGGCCTCTAAGCCTTGAGTGCTAGAACCCTCAAACTTATCCTTAAAATGGTACACAGTGAGTATACATGTCAGTATACATTGACTGGATTCAGTGAATCATACATATGAATAAAACTGGCTATTCTGGTCCCCCCCCCCATAATCACCATTTTAAAAGGCAACAACAGTAATGATTCCAGCAATTTTTAGGATTTACCTTTGTTCTGAAAGAGCATCTGCAGGAAATAACTGATGTTCGAGAGCATGGTCCACAGTCTCCTTCATGGCAGAGCTTTTCACAGGTATGGATGAAATCTTAATAAAAATGAAAAGAGCTGGAAATGAAAATTGCAGCTACTTATTTTAATACTTCCACATTAACTAGCAACACTGGTTTCCACTTCTGCTCCTTGTAACTTCAGAATTAAAGCTGAGGGAGGAAGGATACGGCAATGCTTCTTCCCCTAGCTTCCCTTTATCCAATAAGCCTTTTCAAAAAGCATCAGTCACTAGAATATGCTGTGGCATGCAAGCTGCTTTGCTAAGTCAAAGAGCGCTAAGTCAAAGAACAGATCTTAAGTCTTTATATTAGATTAAGATCTCCCTAAAATTTAGCCAGAGATGACTACTGAAATGACTTGGGATCAGATAATTCTGAAGTCATGACCCATAATCCCACCCACTCAAGCCTGCATTCATCTGCTAAATAACTAGGTTTAGGCCAAGTACTGTGCCCCCCCCCCCCAAGGGTTTTGGTTTTTTGAAGCATGGTCTCCCTGTAGCCCCAGCTTCTATGTACACCAAACTAGCCTCAAAGTCACAGAGATCCACCTGTCTCTGCCTTCCGAGTGCTGTGAGTAAAGGTATACCCCACCACACCCAGCTTTTTTTTTTTTCCCTTGTCTGAGAGAGGGCTAGGGTTAGGGTTAGAGAGTAATTTGTAGGAGCTGGTTCTCTTCTTGTACCATAAGTGGGTTCTGAGAATAGAAGGTTGAGAATAGAACTTAGGTTGTCACACTTGGTGGCAAGCACCCTTACCCACTGAGTCATCTTGATGCCCTTCTACAGTTTTTGTTGGGGTTTACTTATTTTGTGATATGGCCAGATTACTTTAAGAAGTCTACTTCCACTATAGTAGGAAGCTATTGGTAGTCTTTAAACAAAGCCCTGGTTGGGGGAAGGATACATATTCACCCCAAGATGTCAGTTATTTTGGTTCTAACTACCTCTTTCCTTGAGATTAACCAGTACAGCAGGTTTGGATAAACTGTGCCTCATTTGGATTATATTCAGGCCTGAGGCTCCATTAAGCATCAACTATTTTTTTGACTATGCTCTAGAGCATAGATTGTTCAGCAGTCTAATTAAATGTGGTCAAGGAGCCAGTCTTTTGAGATCTGTCCTGACTCCAGAAAGGCTCCTTTAGACTTCTCTTTCCCTGGTTCTTTTCTAGTGAACTAGCCGGCCTATAGTTTAGCTTACTGCTCCTAATTAAGAGGTGATATTATTTTCTAAAAAGTCCTTAGACCTCCACCTCTCACGTGCTGGGATTACAAGTATATGCTACCACTCCTGTTTTTGTTTATCTAATGTGTATGAGTGTTATGCATGTATGTATGTATGTATGTATGTATGTATGTATGTGAGTGTACTTGTGCATGCAGTGCCTCTGGACCAGAAGAGGGCATCAAATCCCTTGGAACTGTAGTTATGGATGGTTATTGGCTACCATATTGGTGCTGGGAACAGAACAGAACTACTGACTCATCTCTCCAGCCTCCTCTTTTGTTTTTTGAGATAGGATCTCATATAGCTTAGGCTGGCCTTGAATTCCTGATCCTCCTGTCTCTACTATCCAACTGCTGGGATTAAAAGCATGGACCACCACACCTAACTTAAGAGAGAGAACAGCAGTTAAGAACACTGGCTGCTCTTGCAAAGGACCTGGGTTTCAGGAGGATCCAACACTCCCTTTCTGACCTCCGAGGGCACTGCATGACACAGGTGCACTTACATGCGTGCAGGCAATACACTCAAGACATAAATTTTTTTTTTAAAAATTAGATATTTCCAAAAGAATTAAAATGTCTAAGAAATTAGGAAAAGCCAGGTGTAACAGGCGGCTCGCTTATGAGAGCAAGGCCAACCTGGTCTACATAGTGAGTTCTAGGCCAGCTGAGGCTTCAGGGAGACCCTGTTTCAGAAAAAAAGGGAAGAAGAAAAAAGAAATGGAAAAAATAGGCACATGTTACCAGGCTGGGGAAATGGCTCAATGGTAAGGGGCTTGCTATTTAAGCATGAGGAACCTAAGTTTGGATCCTCAATACCCATGTAAAAGCTGGGCAGGCGCAGCCAGTCCAGCCACAATAGCAAGTTGCAGGTTCAGTGAGACCCTATCTCAAAAAATAAAATGGAGGCTGGACATAGTAACTCCAAGGTTACTACCATTCTCTCACTCAAGTCTTTCATTACCCATTTTAAAAAATATTTATTATTTTTATTTTATGTGCATGAGTGCATTGCCTGCATGTGTGTAAGTACACCCATGTCATGCAATGCCTGTGGAGGTCAGTAGAAGGCATCAGATCCCCTGACACTTGAGTTACGCAATGTTGTTAGCTGCCACGTGGGTGCTGTGAATCGAACCCAGGTCCTCTGCAAGAGCAGCCAGTGCTCTTAAACACTGACCCATCTCTTTAGCTCTCATTACCCTTTTTATGTTTAATTTTCTCTCATTTCCAACAGACTAGCTGAGCCTCAGAATAGAACTTCTGGTCATTATATATGTAACTTTTAAAAAAGAACTACTATGTGTTTCCTTAAAAAAGGAAAATTTGATCATCTTTCTTGACTTAGAAGTCATTTGAATGTGATTTCACCATAGATTTTAAAGTCATCCACAGACCCAACAGAGCCAGGTGTGGTGGGGCATGTCTTTAAATTCAGACTTCAGGAGGCAGAAGCAGGCAGATTTCTGTGAGTTTGAAGCCAACCTGGTCTACATGGCAAGTTTCAGGCCAGCTACTGCTACATAATGAAACCCTGTCTCAAAACAACAACAGAACCAAGAGAAAAGTATTTTCTTAATGTAGCTGGACCATGTATTAAGATGAAAAGGGGCTGGTGAAATGGCTCAGTGAGTAAGGCACTTGCCACCAAATTTCATGATACAAGAAGAGAACTGACTCTTTAGGAAGTTGTCCTCTGACCTCCACATGTGCACTGTAGTGTACACACACACACACACACACACACAACACACACACACACACACACACACAAAATCAGCCAGCCAATCAATCAAGCAAGCAATCAATGAGTCAGTCAGTCACTCAATCAACCAATCAATAAACGTAAACTGAAAGAAAAAGCAAGACGTGGTGGTGTTTGCTTGCCTGGATTAGTAAATGTATATACAGTGTTTGTACTAGAGAAATCTGTAAAGAGAAATGACAAAGTTGATAATAAAATTGGAGAGATGACTTTGGAAATCTGGGTTTTTTTTGTTTCGTTTTTTGAGGCAGGGTCTCCCTGTACCCCAACTGTCCTGGAACTCACTATGTAGACCAGGCTGGCCTTGAACTCACAGAGATCCTCCTGCCTCTGCCTCCCAAGTGCTGGGATTAAAGGCATGCGCTACCACGCCCAGCTGAAATCTGTATTTTTACAGGTGTACTTTGAGTAAGAAAGAAATTTTAAAAAAATCCAAATCTGATTATAATACTTAGAAGACCCTCTGCTATTATTAGTGGTATTTAATACAACTTGGTGAAATGTCATCACTGCTCAATATCCGCATTAATTTTTTAGTGGGTTTTTAAAAATTTATTTTTATTTTATGTGTATGAGTGTTTTACCTGCATGCCTGTAAGTGCATCCATATCATACAAAGTCCAGAAGGCCCCAGGAAAGGGTACTCAATCTCCTGAAACTGGAGTTATGGATGATTGTTAGCAGCTATATGGGTCCTGGGAACTGAACAAAGGGCCTGTGGAAGAGCAGCCAGTGTTCTTAACCATTGAGCCATCTATCTTGTCCAGCCAATTTTTGTGTTTTTTTTAAAAAACATTTTATTATTTTTATTGTTTTATGTGTATGAGTGTTTTTTTTTGAGAGTTTTCATTTATTTTAGCCCCTGGCCTCAAACTCACTATGTAGGCAAGAATGGCCTTGAAATCCTGATCCTCCTTCCTCTGCTTTCCAAGTGCTGGGTTTACAGGTATGTGCCACCATGCCCAGCTTTATTTTTATTATTTACTTATTTAACATTCATTCATTCATCTTTTGAGACAGGGTCTCATTATGTAGCCCAAGCTCAGAGTTCTACCTGTCCCTGCCTCCAGAGTACTGGGATTAAAGGTGTGTGCCACCATGCCTGGCCATACCCAGCTTTAAATGAATAATTTTAAAACCAACTTCATGTCAACTAGTTACCTGAGGATCCACAAGGCAAAGGCTTGCCACACACTTTTCCACAGGAAGGGACAGGATCCATGCATGTTTTCCGACCATTACTCCCAAGTTCCAACAATTGGCTGAGAGGTGTTTGGCCACAAGGGCAACAGCGAACCAGATAGGGGAGCCGTGGGCAAGGCTGACAGGGCTGAGGATGACACACTTGAGAACAGGTATGGCTCCCACATTTCAAGTCCCTATTAAGGGGGACAGGAGACTATTATATCACTGTTAGATAAAATGAAGCTTTAATCTAAACAATGCTTTAATTTAAATTAGAAAAACGTAAAAACCTTACTTGCCACATATCTTTAAGCAGCTGAAGTCTCCAAATCCATCAGACTTTCCTACGTCTGTTCCACATAACACATCTCGGGAGGTGCTGCCACAGTAGCAAACTTGAGGACACAATTTCAAAAGCAATAGATTAGTAACCTACAAATGCTTTAAAAATATTCCAAACAATCTATAAGAAAGCACAAAGTGTTCTTCATTAGTGTTGACATGATGCAGAAATTAATGAGGTTTATACAGCAGTTTTTTGACTCATCTAAGAGCTTTATAAAGGAATAAATAACAAAGTCTTGTAACACTCTGCCAGTATCTCAGTTCTTCTTCAGCACATCCTGCCAACAGTGAAACCTCCAATTCAGAGGACACTATTCAGTCTCTAAGGCCGCGGCAGATTGGCACCTCTTCATTCCCCAGCTTCACTTTAACACAAATAGGTTTGATAGCTTATATATTAGGCCTCACAAACAGGGTTTGCAAAAAGGGGCCTGCTACTGAAAAAAAATCTAAAATCATCACAATAGTATGAAATCCTTAATAATTTGGATACTATGACTATTAAATCTGAAGTAATCACATTTGGGTATTCATACTGAGTAAAAAGTTTCAAATAACTTGGAGGTATTATTTTTTTTTACTATTTTATTTATTATTTTTATTTTATGTGTATGTGTGTATTGCCAGCATGTAGGTAAGTGCACCCGTGTCATGCAATGCCTGTGAAGGACAAAAGAGGTTGTAGGATCCCCTGGAACTGGAGTTACGGACAGCTGTTAGCTGCCATATGGGTGCTGGGATTTGAACCCGGGTCTTCTGCAAGAACAGCCAGTGTTCTTAACCACTGAGCCATCTCTCCAGCCCTGGAGGTATTATTTTTATGATACATTAATATGTAACCATCAGTAAAGGTTAATTTCATAAAATTACTTAAGATTTCTGATAATTATTACTTTACAATTTTTGTTCACAAGGGAAATCTACACAATTAATCTATGTGTATATATCTTGCCCATCATGATAAATGGTAACTAGAAGAGTACAAACTAAACTGAAATTCTGGCAGGGTAGAACTAATTAATGGTAATTTCCTTCTTCAAAGGACAATTTAGGTATCTTATTGGCATAGTAAATCAACATCAGAATAAATATAATGCTATAAAAACATGCAATATCTTAAAAATCACATATGTAATAAATGAAAAAGAATGACTACAATGAAACAGTAGAAATCATATTCATAAAATAACTATGTATTAAACAGAACCAAAAACTTCCACTGACACATGGGAAGAGGAAAGCCTCAAGTCACTAAAGTATATGTGTAACTGTGTCCACTATTCTGAAACTTACTTTATCTCATAAAATAAAAATTTGTTGAATGAATAATATAGATGCAGGGAAAAATTATTATTTTTGGAACCAATAACTGATAAACCCTAGCAACCAAAGGCTACTCTAAGTAGCCTTTACTATAAGCAGCCTTTTCTCTGATAAGATTTGTTTCTTCTTTTTCTAAGACAGGGTCTGGCTTTGTAGCCCATGTTGGCCTGGAAACAACTAAGGTAGCCAAGGTGGGCTTCAAATTCTCACTCTTCCTGCCTCAGCCTCCAAGTGCTAGGGGTAAAAATGTAGGCCACCATGCCTGGCCCTCTCTACTAAGTTTCTACTCAAACAGAACAAGGCTTTTTGTCAGAGGTAAAGAACAAACAGATGTAGATATGAGTTAATTAAAAGGCAGAAAATTGGGCTGGGGAGATGGCTTAATGGATAATGACTTGCAATGTAAGCATGAGGATCATAGTTCAAATCCCCAGAATCCACACATAAAAGGCCAGACAGGCGTGGTAACCAACTGTAATCCCAGTGCTCAGAAGGCAGATTGGGGATCCCAATCCGGCTATCAAGAATAGCCAGTTAGTGAGCTCTAAGTTCAAATGAGACCCTGCCTCAATAAATAAAGTAGAAAGTGGGGTCAGATAGATGGCTCTGCGGGTAAAGGTGCTTGCTGCCAAGCATAATACCCTGTTTGATCCCTTCCCTGGGTCCCACATAATGGAGAAAACCAACTCTCACAAGTTGTCCTCTAATCTCCATATACATGCCTTGGCATGCATACTTACATATATGCACATACACTAAATAAATACAATAAAATATTAAAAAATAAAGTGGAAAGTAAATGAGAAAGGCATCCAATGTCAACTTTGGACCTCTAAATGCATGCATACACATGTCTACCTGTCTGGACACACACACATACACCCACTGCATGTGAATACACATACACACATCACACACATACATACATATGAAAAGCAGGGGTCGGGGGCAAAAAATTATGACAGGGGCTGGAAACCTGGTTCAGTGGTTAAGAGCACTTATTGCAGGATAGGAGGTAGGAATTGGCTAGGTAGTTAGGGTAAAAAGACCCCAAAGAAAAGTAGCCAATTTCTTCGCTAAAAGCCAAAATGTCCTTGGGCCTCTTAGAAACATACCTGTTCCAAAGGCCAAAACTCTCCAAAGTGTTTGGGAGCTTTTATCTATTCCCTAAAAGATAAAAATGAATTAATTGGGGCTGGAAAGATGGCTCAGCAGGTAAGAGCACTGACTGCTGTTGCAGAGGACCCGGGTTCCATTTCCAGCACCCACATGGCGGCTACAAACCATCCTTAACTCCAGTTCCAGGGGACTCCGAAGCTTTCTTCTGACCTCCGGCGGCATTGTATGACATGGTGCACTCGCATGCAGGCAATACACTCATACACATAAAAAATAAAATAATTTAAAAAAAAAATAAATTAATCAAAGAAGAAAGAGTACATGAAGTTATCAGAAAAAAGTGATGGGGAGATATGGGAGGAGTTGGAGGGGAGGGAGTGGGCATGGATTTGATCAAAATACCTTATATGCATGCATGAAATTCTCAATAAATTATTAAAAAAAAAAAAAGAGCACTTATTGCTCTTCTAGAGTGCCCAGATTTGGTTCCAAGCACCCACGTGGCAGCTAAAATATGTCCTTAACTCAAGTTCTAGGGGATCTGATGGTCTCTCCTGGCCTCCATGAGCACGACATGCATGGGTGTACTTATATAACGTGTAGTCAAAGCACTCATACAAATACATTTTTTTAAAATTATGACAATAAAAATAAAATGAGCCAAGTGTGGTGACATGTGCCTTAATTCTAGTACTTGGGAGGCAGAGGGAGGTGATCTCTGAGTTTGAGGCCAACTAACCGGGGAAACACATAGTGAGACCCTGTGAAAAAAAGGGGGGGCGGGATTCTGGAAACATGGTTCAGCAGTTAAGAGCACTGGCTAGTTTGGTTTCCAGCACCCACATTTGGCTAATAGCTGTAACTTCAGTTCCAGGGGATCCAACGCTCTCTTCTGGCCCCCTTGGGACTGTACACATGTGGTGTACATACATGCAGGCAAAACACTCATACACACATAGAAAATTAAAAAAATAATGACATCAAAAAACACAGAGCCCCTTAAGTCAATCAGAAAACAATCTGACTACACCAAAAAGCCATGGTAGGCTTAGCACAGAGAATAAAATTAGGAGCTGGTATCGGCAGAGTTAGAGTCATAGCTGGCTGAACAGTCAGTACCAAGGAAGAGAAGACAGTCTTCGGGAAGGATTCAGTTACCAGTCTTAATCTACATGTTCAGCATTTAATGAACACTCAGAAGAAATGTTTATTAAATCTCTAGATAGGGCTAAAAAGAGATCCTAGAAGAATTATCACTCAAGAAGATAAATTAACTATGTGGCCAAAATACTTTGTTAGATATTTACTGTTACACACCCTAGTCCCAGCTACTTGGGAAGCTAAGGTAGGACCCCAGGAGTCTAAGACTAACCTGGACAACAAAGTAAGGCCCAAGAGTCTTAGGCCAATCTGGGCAACAAAGTGAGGCCCAGTCTCAAAAAAAGCAAAGAAAAAAATCGTAACTTACCTAACTTATTTATCCTTTCCTCTGGTTCATGGACATTTGGGATGCATTCAGTTTGGGGTTCTTATGAACATATATTCCCATAGACACCTTTCTTTGCAGACTTAGGTATGTAAATATCAAAGAATGGAATGGCTGGGTCATAGCACACACATGCTTAACTTTGTAAGAAGCCAACAAATGGACGTCCACAGTGGTTGTACCATTTTATGCATCTGTCAGCAATGTGTGAAAATTTCACTTGCTCTACCCTTGCCAATATTTAGTTATTAGTCTTTTTTAATTTAGCCATCCTATTAGCTATAAATAAATACCTCATGTGAGTTTGTTTTATCTCCATTCCCCTTGACTTTCCCTCCAGTTTGGGTTTTTGTAAAGTACTTTTGTTGCAATATAATTGACATACTGTACAATTACAGAAGAGTCCATGAGTACAGCGAACTGATGTGTACAACACTTACCCTGGTTTAGTATGATCCGGCAAGGCTGGCATTGACCCCCGTGGCACAGCTCAGCACAGTGGTGCTGACCACAGTTCAAAATATTCTCACATGGGTTAGAACAGTGAACTGAGACAGACTGACCACAGCGAACTGTGTGCCTACAAAGACAGTAGATACAAAAACATCACTCTGAAAGTTACCCCTATACAGATAAAATAACAGTGAAGCCCAAACCCTCCCCTCAACACCTACTAAACATTTCTCTTGACTTTGTTGCCTCCAACTTTTTCGATATGTCCCCTTCCAATTTTTAAAGATTTTTATTATTTTTAATTGTGTGTGTGTGTTTTCATGTGTGTCTGTGCACATGGGTACAGGTGCACTCAAGGCCAGAGGTGTCAAATACCCTAGAGCTGGAGGTACAGGCAGCTGTGTGCCGGCCAAACTCAGGTCACTTACAAGAGCAGTATGTACTCTTTGCTGAGCCATCTCTACAGCCCCCTTCTTCCAATCTTAATTTCCTCAATCATTCTCCCCTCCACATTCTTCTTTCTCCTTTCCCTTTCTTCCTTTTTTTCCTGAGGGGGAGGACAAGGTCTCACTAGATAGCCCTGGCTGGCCTAGGACTCAGAGCACTGCCTGCCTCTGCCTCTCAAGTCCTTGGACTAAAAGTGTGAGCCATTACGCCTAGTTCTTTTGTTATTTTCTATCCTGCCTTTCTTCCCTATTTTCTAATTAGTGATGAAATGAAGGTTATTCCTGAAAACAACTTTTCTGTTGATTTCATCTGAGTTTCATTAAGCACCATGCAGGGTGGAGAGAAAGCCCTGGAGGGAAGGATCAAATCTGGCTTCTAGTCCTAGCTCTGCCTAGAGCTTCTCCCCTTAAAGACAAGGAAAGAAAAAGTATCAATAATGTGTGCAAATCTGATAAACTCAGACCAAACTCACATGGCATTTTCCTAGAACCAAGCATGTTCATATTTCATGCAGCCAGAATGCTTATAAGGCACCAGACAGAGTTGTGAGTCTAGCTTGTTCTAATAAACATCTTGATTTTGTCAGCTTATTGGCTTTTATCTCCAGAGGTTCTGGTTATTTACACCTACTATTCACTCATATCTGCTTACTAATCTTTCACTTTAGAAATTCACAAGTAAACCATGCATGTGGAAACAGGTTTTCTTCACAGTTCAATTCTAACTTTACCTAGTCCGTCCACATTCACATGTTTTAGTTGTAAAAGCAGGGCAAGGTGGGCAGGGTCCAGGATGGCAGAGACTAAAAAAGAAAAGCTTCAATGAATAAACCATTCTTATGCAACAAAAACAAACAAGTTACCCAGCTGGGTTCTACCATGAATATAGCAACAAATAAGCCCACTATGAAATGTCTTAGTATTTCTCTAAACTTGGTAAGATATTTGAATGAAGAAACAATTATAGTTTTAGACAGATGAAGTAGCACATAATCCCAGCACTGAGGAGATAGGAGGAGCACTACAAATTCAAGGCCAGCCTGATCTATATATCAGGACGCCCAGGGTTACATAATGACAGTCTGCTTCAAAAATCAAGAAAAGCAGGATGTAGCCAGGCCTGGTGGCAAAAGCCTTTAATCCCAGCATTTAGGAAGCAGATGCAGGCAGAGGATCTCTGTGAGATTGAGGCCAGTCAGGCCAGCTGGGGCTGCAGTGAGACCATCTCAAAAACAACCCAAAAAACAAACAAACAAACCCATCACCAAGAATAATAATTTTATGTACAAAAATTGACAGCATTATTATTTAAAAATAAGAAAAGAAGTAAAGCCTAACTGAAAATATTGGTTTTATTTGAGGATACTTTAAAATATGTCTTTGGTCCAATTATACTACTATGTGTAGATAAAAATACCCTACCATTCTTAGTGGTAGAATACTTGCCTAGCATGTGTGGGAGAACTCATACCTACTAAGTCCATCAAAGTACAGAAATTTTCTCATCAGCTTGTGAAGTAATAACGAAGGCACTGGGCTAACAATGGGAACAGTGAAAAGAAGGTCCACATGAAGGATAGCATACTTGTAAGAAACAAAAGAGAGACGATAGGGGCAAGTGGTTATGGGAAGAACAAAGCTTAGTGATATTCTCTAGTTCAGAATTAGACATCTGAACAGAATGCTTTTCATAGGTATTAGAACAGGAAAAAATTACAAAATGTCATTATACATTCATATACTTACTTTCCTCTTCAAATAGAATCAATGTCAATTACACACTGGTTCAGACTGGCCTGGAACTCACTATGTAGACCAGGCTGGCCTTGAACTCACAGAGATCTGCTTGCCCCTGACTCCTAGGTGCTGGGACTAAAGATGTGCACCACCACGCCTGGCTAAAGTCTAGATTTCTAAGGTGACCCCTCCCTGTGACAGAGAGTACCCATTGGAGATTTAAGTGTAAACATGTTCCTTTAAAGGCTGAGATGTAGTCCAGCGGTAGAGCACAGGCCTAGCATGTACTAAAGCCCTCAATTTGATTTCCAGCATCACAAAAATAAATTTTCATTACTTTTTAATTGTGTATTACCTGCACATTTGTAAGTGCACCTGTGTAGTCCAATGCATAAGGAGGCCAGAAGAGGGCATCAGATCCCCTGGAACTGGAGTTATGGACAGTTGTCAGCCACCATGTCGGTGCTGGGAATCAAACCTGGGTCCTCTGCAAGAGCAACCAGTGCTCTTAACTGCTGAGATATGTCTCCAATCCCATGAATAAAATTTTAAAGATGAGGGCTGGAGAGATGGCTCAGCAGTTAAGAACATTGACTGTTCTTGCAGAAGACCTGGGTTCAAATCCCAGCACCCACATGGCAGCTAACAACTGTCCGTAACTCCAGTTCCAGGGGATCCGAAAGCCTCTTCTGTCCTCCATGGGCATTGCATGACATGGGTGCACTTACCAACATGCAGGAATGTTGCATGACATGGGTGCACTTACCTACATGCAGGTATAACATTCATACACATTAAATAAAAATAATAAATTTAAAAAATTTTTTTTAAATTTTAAAGATGAATGCCATTTGATAGTTATACTTCACATGATATGGCTCAACCGTTTCAGATGAAACAATTTAAATAACTTTAAACAATGAGCAAACTGTGGGTCATGTGTGGGTGACTCCAGGTAATTTCAAATTTCTTGATACCTGATTTCAATCCCAGGTTTTCTTAATCAGCAGTGGTTTACAATACTGGCTAAATACCAGAATCACTTGGAGAGCTTTAATATTCCAGAGTTCTAGGTTCAGTAAGAGACCCTAACAAGCTGGGCATGGTGGCATATGTCTTTAATCCCAGTACTTGGCCAGCTGAGGCTACAGACACCCTGTTTCATAAAGACAAAAAAACAACAACCCCCCCCCAAAAAACCCCCCAAAAAGGTGGACAGTGATAAAGGAAGACACCCAACATTGACCTCTGGCCTCCACATGCACAGGCATGGATGAGTATCCCCCACTCATACACACAGGCATACAAAATGCCAGCTAAAGAATGGAATTTAAGTTAATGAGCCCCCAAAGAAGGACTGACGCAAGCAGTCATGGGGGTAAACAAACTGCTTAGCAGGTCCCAGCAGGCCATGCTGTTTAGCTGAATCAGAAACATTACTGGGCTGAAGGGATGGCACAACGATTAAGAGCACTGGCTGTTTTTTCAGAAGACCTAGGTTAGGTTCCCAGCACCCACACAGCTAACCATCACCTGTAACTTCAGTTCCAGGGCAACCAACACCCCCATCTGGCTTCCAAGGGCAATGCATGGGTGTGGTGTACTTAGATGCAAGCAAAACACTTATATACATAAAATAAAAAAAAAACAAGCCAGGTGTGATGATGTACAATCTTTAATCCCAGCACTTGGGAAGCAAAAGCAGGAAGATCTCTATGAAATAGAGATCAGCCTGATCTACATAGTAAGTTCCAGGCCAGCTGGGGCTATAGGGAGATCCTGTCTCAAAAACAACAACAAAAATTAATAAAATAAATAAATAAATAAATAAATAAATAACAGCAGTATCCCACTGACCATTCCAGTCTTAATCACAAGGACTCTAGTATAATATAGATCCCAAGTCCATTCTGCAGAGGAACTAACATAACATTTTATGTCCATTTTATTTAGATTTGGGTAATAAAGCAAGAATGAATTTATTTATATATTTTGAGATAGTCTCACTCAGTTACCCTGGCTGGTCTGGAACTTGCTATGTAGACCAAGCTGGCCTTGAACTCATAGCAGTCTTCCTATCTGTCTTCTAGGTGAGCTGCAGGCATGTGCCACCATGTTTGGTTCTTTTTATTTGTGTCAGGATCTCAGAACCCACGTTGGCCTTGAACTCAGTATGTAGCTGAGAAAGACCATGATCCCTGAACCTTGTGTTGCTACATCTCAAGTGCAGGGATTATAGGTGCATACCACCATGCACTGTTTCTCTAAGTAGGTATTCTTATTTAGAAGCTAACTAGATACATTCTAAAGTTGTCAATTTATTATAGGGACCCTCAATCCTATCAGGATGTTACACAAATGCTTTCCCTTAGGCTGGTCTATACAGCCTATAAAATATCTGAGGCTCTTTTGTTTTTAGAGCCAGTAGTATAATATGGGGATCACTGACTCTGGGAATCCCAGGTCCATCATGTCTTAGCACTGTAACACTGGGCATGATGCTCAGCCTTTCTGAGCCTCATCTCTGAAGTGTAAATGACAATACCTACACATCACTGGACTGTGATGAGGAATCAACAACCGACATAGAGAACCTGCTACAGAGTAAGTGCTCAGTAAATGGTTCCTTAACATTCTTTACCCCACTCCTGGTACATGATGACCTGTGTACTTAAAGCCACCAACAAAGCACATCTTCCAGGAATCCCCAGAAGTCTAGCATTCCAACTTACAGGTTACAGGAATGTGGGCAGTCCTGGCCAGGCTGTTTCTTTCTACAAACCTCACCACAGCTATGTGGAATTTCATTTCTGCTCCACTCAGGATTCTTTACCTTACCTAAAACACATCAGATCAGAAAGTCAATGTTACAAATTTCAATCACATTCTCAACTTTAATGAAACAGCACAATATAGCCAGACAGAATAAAACTTAAGTGTGGTTTTCAATAGTGTAACAAATACATTATCTTACATTATAAAACAAAAAGCTGGCTGTAATGCTACTCAGCAAACACTCCACTGAGCATGATAAATTTGGAGGGGGGGCTGGACAGATGGCTCAGCAGTTAAGAGCACTAGCTGCTCTTGCAGAAGACCTGGGTTTAGTGACTTCTGCTGGCCTTGCACGACACGGGTACACTTATATACATGCAGGCAATATACCCACAAACATAAAAAATAAAAATAAGGGGCTGGAGAGATGGCTCAGTGGTTAAGAGGACCTGGGTCCTCTTCCTAGCACATGGCAGCTATGAACCGTCCTTAACTCCAGTTCCAGGGGAATCCGAAGCCCTCTTCTGACCTCCACGGCATTGTATGACACGGGTGCACTCACATACAGGCAATACACGTAAAATAAAAATTAAAAAAAAAAGATTACCCAGGGGTGGTGGTAGAGGTGGATGACCAAAAGGAAACAGAGTTTTCCAGACAGCCAGGAAGTTAGTCATATGAACATATAAACTCACAGCAATGATGACAGCATTTACAAGGGCCCCATAAGTTCAAGCCAGACAAAATCCCAGTACAGATATGGGAAAGTGGGTAAGAAACTTCAACCCTACCTAAGTATTGGCAACTGATGGCTGCTGGGGTAAGAGTAAGTTTTAAGGGTGAGACTCTTGGTAGATTGGACCCAGCGGATGAACCCATGCCAAAGGGCAACTGGGGACACAACCCCCTGACACCTATCATATGTGTGTGTGTGTGAGTGTGTGTGTGTGTGTGTGTGTGTGTGTGTGTATAAGAAATTGGGGAGGTAGCAAGGAGGGTACAGATAGGGGAGGAGATCTAAATATGATCAAAATATATTGTATGAAATTAGCAAAAATTCAGTTAAAAAAAAAAAGACATGCACACCAAAAAGATTATCTAGGAAAGATAAAATCATTTTTACTTATGAAAATTCTATTCATAATAAATAATAAATTTATTTAAGATAAACCTTAAATAGACTTTCTTAAATAAAACTGATAAATATCTGTGGATACTGGGTATATACCTTTAATCCCAGCACTCAGGAGGTGAAGGCAGGTGGATCTCTGTGAGATTGAGGCTAGTTGGAGCTATAGGGAGACCCTGTCCTAGAAAAACCACACACACACACACACACACACACACACACCAAAAAAACAAAAAACAAAAGAAATATCTGTGGTAAGAATCAGAAAGAAATAAGGAAGAGCACTGGGGATGAAGCTCCACAGAGCACTTGTTTAACATGTTATCATGCTCTGGGTTCTATCCCGAGCACAGCTGAGGGAGGGGGAATAAAGAAAAAGCAGCTCTAGAGTGAATGTGGAGAGACTGTAAGATGGAAAAGACATAAATCCCCTGCAGAGTAGGACTTTTCTATTCTAAAGCTGTAAAGTAGGCATAAAATGGTTATAATTTCACAATCAATGTTACTGTACCAAACTTTACTGAGATCTCCTTGGACTTAGCACTAAGGCAGGAACAGTGAAAAACCCAGGCAGAGGAGGACTGTTCTCTGCCCTTGAGCAATTCATCCTCACTTGGGCAATCTAGATAAAAAAATGATAGTCCCTAGACCTTGGCCTCTGCTTTTTTTATAACCTCTTTTAGAGATTACAGCATATGTGTAGAGGCCAGAGGACTTTCAGTTTTTTTTTTTTTTTCCCCTGCTATCATGTGGGTTACTGGTATTGCACTCAGGTCTTGTCAAGCTTGGCAACAGGTGCCCTTACCTACTGAGCTACCTCACTGGCCCTCATTATAGATTTTGATTATTCTTCATTTGGATTAAGTCCCCAAACTGTTTACCCTCCAATATGCTCTGACAGGCAAAAATTCATCTTCATAAAGAACTGATGCTCTAGCCAGATATAGTAGGTGTACCTATATAGTTCCAGCACATGGAAGTAGAGGCAGGAGAATCGCTTGGGTACAGGGGTTCAAAACCAACTTGGACATGATAAGGGAGAGGAAAGGAGTAGGAGGATGAGGAAAGGGGAGAAGATGGGGGGGGGGGGGGAAAGAGATGCCCTCAGGGGTTTCCCACAGCTTGCCAAATGATGCCCCAGTGTCTAAGCCCAACATCAAAGAGGTGCCCTACTTTTCTTGTCATCTCCCATGCCTGCACTGTCACAGGGACTGACCTCTGTAATGGGATGATTCTTTTCCCCCAAAACAGAAGCCTTATTATTGATTTCTAACTTCTGCTACTGTCTTCAGAAAACCTTTCTGCTTACCAAATTTTAATAATTTCCACATCCAGTTCAATTCTACTTCCTTCATGAAGGCTTCCATCAACCATCTGGAGACCAACTCACTCCAGATACTTCCCATAGCACTTTGTACTTCTAGTAGAATACTGGGTTAACTGTGGGTTTTTTTGTTTTGCTTTTTATTTTTGTCTTTTTGAAGCAGGGTCTCCCTGTAGCCCCAGCTGTCCTGGAACTCACTATGTAGACCAGGTTGGCCTTCAACTCACAGAGATCCACCTGCCTCTGCCTCCCAAGTGCTGGGACTATTTTGAGACAGGGTCTCCCTGTAGCCCCAGCTGATCTGGAACTTGCTGTGTAGACCACGCTGGCCTTGAACTCAGAGAGATCAGCCTGCCTCTGCCTCCCGAGTGCTGGGATTGTTTTGTTTTTTAAATGATTTATTTTTATTTGTGTGTTTTGATTGTCAGTATATTTATAGATATGTGTGCAGTGCCCACAAAAGCCAGAAAAGAGCAACAGAGCCACTACGTGGGTGCTGAGAGTTGAACCCAGGTTGTTTGGAAGAACAGCAAGTGTTTTTAACCCCTGAGTCACCTCTTCAGCCCTTGATTTTGGGTTGTTTTGTTTTTTGCCTTTTTGAGACAGGGTCTCCCTGCAACCCTAGTTAACTTGCAACTTGCTATGTAGACCAGGCTGGCCTCCATCTCATAGCGATCTGTCTGCCTCTGCCTCCTGAGTGTGGGATTAAAGGTGTGTGCCACCACACCTAGCTTGTTTTTGTTTATTTTGACACAGGGTTTCACTAAGTGGTCTTCAGCTGGCCTTGAACTTCCAATCTTCCTGCCTCAGCCTCCTGAGTGCTAGGATTAGAATTAACTGTATCTTAACTCTTAGACTATAAGCTCAGGAGAGTCAATAAATGGCCTATTCCTCTACTTCTTCATAGTTCCTGGTACATTAAAAAATTCTCAATAAAAGCATATTAAATTATCTTCTGGAAGAACAGTGTAGGGGCAGAGTCATCAGATAAATAAGGCCTATTCACACTATCACATAATTTTACCTCTCTTACATCATCTTTACCTTTATTCTACATTTTTACACCTTCTTAGGTGTCCCTTATCTAATTTGTAAGTGATAACTTTAAGATTCTTTATTCCACTGAGGTACTTCACATTTAAAAATCCTTTAAGGGGGGGCCAGGCGTGGTGGCGCAAGCCTTTAATCCCAGCACTTGGGAGGCAGAGGCAGGCGGATCTCTATGAGTTCGAGGCCAGCCTGGTCTACATAGTGAGTGCCAGGGCAGCTGGGGGGACAGGGGGACCCTGTCTCCAAAAAACCAAAAAAAAAAAAAAAAAAAAAAATCCTTTAAGGAAGCTGGGCATGGTGGCACACACCTTTAGTCCTAGCACTCCGGAGGCAGAAGCAGGCAGATCTCTGAGTTCAAGGGCAGCCTAGTCTACATAATGAGTTCCAGGCCAGCTGGGGCTACAGGGAGACCCTGTCTCAAAAAATAAAAGACCCCCCCGCAAAAAAAAATCCTTTAAGGAGCCAGGTGTGGTAGATCATCCCAGCACTTGGGAGGCAGAAACAGAAGATGGGGAATTTGAGGCCCGCCTGTACTACAGAATGATACCGTCTCAAAAAGCCAAAACAAACATACCCTTTAAGGTAATTAGGCCTTGGTACTATCCTATTTGCACAATTTCCCACAGCCCTCTTATTTCCAGTTTCATGCTACCTTTCCAGTAGTATACGAACGGCTATTCATTCCTTCAATTAATACTAACTTACTATCTAAGGCTCAGATTTTGGCAATAAAGCATGTAAGACCAACAGATTCCAAATAAAAGAGAAACCAAAGTGAGAAAGGTTAAAACTGCCTTTAGAAAAAGGCATTTGGGAGTTGGAGAGATGGCTCAGTGGTTAAGAGCAGTGACTGTTCTTGCAGAGGACCCAGGTTTGATTCCTAGCACATGGTGGCTAACCCTTCTCTAAGTCCAGTTCCAGGGGATCCTATACCTTCTTCTGACTTCTGCAAGCACTGCATGACATGGGTGCACTTATACACATGCAGGCAATACACTCATACACATTAAAAATTTTTTTAAACTTTTACAAAAACTTTATTGAGAATTTCACACATGCACATAAGGTGTTTTGGGCAAATCCATGCCCACTCCGTCCCTTCCAACAACTCCCATATCTCTCCATCACTTTTTTCTTTTTTCTTTTCATTTAAAAAATAAAATTAATTTTAAAATATTTTAAAAAAAGAAAAAGGCATTGGATGGGGGGGGGGAGGTTGATTCAGTGGCTGAGTGCTTGCCTAGCATGTGTGAGGTCCTGGTTTGACCACAGCACCACAAAAAGTGGGAGGGAAAACATGTTTGATAGTCAAGGGATTGAACAACTGCTAGTGAAATCATGATAAAAGAGGAACATAGCAAATAGGTTAGGAAAATAAAGATAGTATGCAAAAAGAAACAGAACAAATTGTTTTAGGAAGGGAATGGTCTGGGCTGGAGCAATGGCTCTGTGGTTAAGAGCATTTGCTGCTCTTGCAGAGGATCCAGGTTTGATTCCCAGCACCCACATGGCGGTTGACAACTGTCCATAACTCCAGTTCCAGAGGAATCTGACACCCTTTTTCGACCTCCATAGGCATTGCATGACACAGGTGCACCTGCTTACATGCAGGCATTACACTCATACACATAAAATAAAAATAATAAAATATTTTTTTAAAAAGACGGGAATCAAAGGTGTCAAAGATGATTATGCTGCCAAAAAGTTAAAAATTTATTAATTAGTCCATATGGCTAGCATCACTGATTTCTGAATACGGTTTCAGTGAGGCAACAAACACAGAAACAAAAATGTAATGATTCAAAGAGGAAGATAAACAGCTGAGAAACAAAATCTACACAAAGGTTAGTCACTAAAAGGAAGGAAAAAAAAGATATGTAGGGAACAGGCTAACATTAGCATCTGGATCAAAGAAAGCTTCTGCTAATACAGAAGGGAACTAAACTACTATGAAATAGGAAAAAGCTCAGGCATGATAGTGCATGCTTTTAATCCCAGCATTGGGGGGGAAGGGGGAACCTGCAGATGGATCTCTCTGAGTTTGAGGACAGCTGGTCTACACAGCAAATTTTAAGCTAGTTAGACCTACATAGTCAGACCTTGTTTCAAAAAAGGAGAACGTATTCTACAAAGAAGAAGGATACAAAGATAATGTCCGTAATGCCAGTTTATAGAAAATTTCTGTTATGAAAATGAAAGATTAATTTCTTGAATTACATTAGACACAATCTTTACTCATGCTGCTCAAATCTAGAGTATCAAAGCTGTTGTAGACAGGGCAGAGAGGAAACCCATATCAATACCTACCTCTGACAACTGGTTCATTCTGGTATCAAACTAAGACCAAGAGGCCAACATCACAGCTCAGAAGCAGAATGAGCCTGGTTGGTATAATGAGAAGGCCAATCTCCACAGCAATCTGCACAAAGGCCCATGGCTCCAGCTGGGTGACAGACCACATGAGTACAGTCTTACAGACTCTTTCAGCTTTGAAGTCTCATTAGTAACTTCTAAAATAAGCCCCACAGACCACTGAGGTAGAAGGTATAGTGAAAAATGTTCGGTGTATGTAAATAAACTTACCACAGAAACAAGTATAGGTATTAGGAACATGTGCGGAAACATTCTGACAAGCAGGGCACCTCCAACCGCTCTGGCCATCTGTCAGAAAAATGAGAATGTCAAATTTTCTTTCTACAGCACAAATTGGAGTAGAGGTATGGCTCAGTGGGAGGGGGCATGTTTTATATGTACAAGGCCCTAGGCCTTAAGACACCCCTAAAAGTCAACAGCACGATAATTAAAAAAAATTTAAATCTATAGGAAACTACACCATTGAAGTAGTAATTAAAATGTTCAGTACTGAGGCTGGAGAGATGGCTCAGTTGTTAAGAGCACTGACTGCTATTGCAGAGGATCAAGGTTTGGTTCCCAGCACCTATGTGGTGGCTAACAACTGTCTCTAACTCTATTTCCAGGGGATCTGATGCCCTCTTCCAGCATTGCACACATAGGAACACTTACATACATGCAGGCAAAACACTCATACATATAAAATAAAAATAAATTAAAAAAACTTTTTGAAGTGCTGAGTATTACCAGACACTTAGGAAACAAATTCAGGGAGCTGAAGAGATGGCTCAGTGGTTAAGAGCACTGGCTGCTCTTACAGAGGCCCAGGGTCAATTCCTAGCACCCATATGGCAGCCATAACTCCAGTTCCAAGGGCTCTTACGTCCTCTTCTGACCGCCTCAGGCACTGCATGACATAGGTGCACGTACATACATGCAGACAATACACTCATGCACATAAAACAAAATTAATTTTTTTTTGGAGAAAAGAAACAAATTCAGGCCGATGTGGATACACATGCCTTTAATCCCAGCACTCAAGAGGCAGAGGTAGGTGGATCTCCGTGCGATAGAGGTCAGCCTGTTCCATATGCAGAGTTCCAGGCCAGCTGGGGCTACAGTCCTCCTATCTCATAAAACAAAGGAAAAAAGATACAAAAATTTTTTTCATTACGTGTTATTTTATGTGTGTGCGCACGTGTGTGCATGTACTGAAAGCACATGGAAGTCAGAAGACAACTTGTAAGAGTCAATTCTCTCTACCATGTGGGTCTCAGGGATCAAACTTAGGCTTGATGGCAAGTACCTTTAAGTGCTATGCCATCTCTTGGGTCCAATAAATGCTTTTTATATTGTTAATTGGATGAAACCTATCATTTAAAAAAAAAAGCTGACTGATTTTTTACCATACCCTAAATATTTTGACATTGCTGTTTAGCTGTTAAGATCTACAGATTAATTTTAGTGATAAAACATGAAAACAAGGTAATATTCTACCTATAGGTAAAATGTTTAAGATGAATTAGTATTTTTAAAAAATTATATACATATATATATTAGCCAGGCGTGGTGGCGCACACCTTTAATCCTGGCACTTGGGAAGCTGAGACAGGTGGATCTCTGTGAGTTCGAGGCCAGCCTGGTCCATACAGCTAATACAGAAGTTTATATATTTAATAAAGTATTTAAATATATTAAATATATAAAAATATGTATAGCATATAAATATTTGCATATATTAAAATATATATATATTTTTTTGTCTTTTTGAGATAGGGTCTCCTTGTAGCCCCGGCTGGCCTGGAATTCGCTATGTAGACCAGGCTGGCCTCAAACTCAGAGATCCACTTGCCTTTGCCTCACGAATGCTGAGATTAAAGGAGTGTGCCATCATGCCCAGCTAAAACGTAGTATTTTTATTAATTCTTTGATAATTTCATACAATACATTTTGATCATATTTATCCCCTACTCCTCTCCCTAACTCCTCCCAGATCCACCCCTACCTCCTGACCCCCTCCCCCAGAATCAGTATTTTTTTTTAATTTATTCCAAAAAAAAAATACTATTATTATTTTTTATCTTCTTGAGACAGGGTCTCCCTGTAGCCCCAGCTGGCCTGGAACTTGTTATGTAGACCAGACTGGCCTCAAACTCACAGAGGTCCACATGGCTCTGCCTCCTGAATGCTGGTCTAAAGGCATGCGCCACCACGCCCAGTGTAAGTTTATTGTTTTTATGTGTAAGAGTGTATTACCTGCATATGTGTAAGTGCACCGGTGTCATGCAATGCTCACAAAGGTTAGAAGAGGGTGTCAGATCCCCCGGAACTGGAGGTGCAAATGGTTGTTAGCCTCCATGTGGGTGCTGGGAACTGAACTGTGGTCCTCTGGAAGAGCAATAAAGTGCTCTTAACCACTGAACCAGCTCTCCAGTCCCTGGAATTCATATATATTTTTTTTGATTGATTTATTTTTATTTTCTGTGTATGAGTGTTATGTCTGCATGTATGTAGGTGCACCCATGTTGTACAGTGCCCATGGAGGACAGAAGAGGGTGTTGGATCCCCTGGAACAGATTACAGATGGTTGTTAGCCATTATGTGGGTGCTGGGAATTGAACCTGAGTTTTCCTCAGGAGCAGCCCATGCTCTTAACAACTGAGCCATCTCTCCAGGCCCCGAATTCGTATTTTTTAAGTTAGATTTATAACTTGAATTTATCAAATCAGTAAGAAAAACTACTCAGAAGAGAAAGCTGACCTGCTTGAGATGCTGGAGACCTTGCCCATTTCTTTATGCAGTTCAAATGAAACACGTGAAAACAGCTCTGACAGCTCCACACAGGGGCTGTTACTCGAACCAATTCACAGCACACCATACACTCGTATTTTTCTGTAGTTAGCTGTTCAATTAGAGAACCTGTTTTAAAATAACAAAGAAAATCAAACAGAGAAAACTATTTCTCATTTTAGTCAATCAAGGAGAGGTAAGTAATTTAGGGGGCTATTCTAAACATAGGCTAAAAAGTGGTATCTGATTCTGATTAAGATGGCTATTTTGAGACTCTAAGACTGAGAAAGGGTAGGAATTGCTGAGAGGACAGAGAAAGGCCACATTTAGATAGGAGTTCTAAACAGAACCTACTCAGATACAGCTGGGAGCTATGGCTCAAGCCTGGAGTCCCAGAATTGAGGAGAAGGAGACAAGAGAATGACTCTTGGGCTACATAATGAGATCTCAAAACACCAAAAGTAAATTAAAAAAACAAACAAGCAAACCAAAAACAGTAAGTTTTGCTGGGTATGGTGGCACACACCTCTAATCCCAGCACTTGGGAGGCAGAGGCTGGCAGATCTCTGTGAATTCAGGGCCAGCCTGGTCTACACAGTGAGTTCCAGGACAGCAGTGGCTACAGGGAGCCCTTGCCTCAAAAAGATAAAAAAATATACATATATTACAATAATGCTGGGCGTGGTGGTGCCTTTAATCCTTGAACTCTGGAGGCAAAGGGAGGCAGATTTCTGTGAGTTTGAGGTGAGCTTGGGCTACATAGTGAGTTCCAGGCCAGCTGGGGCTGCAGGGAGATCCTGTCTCAAAAAGACCAAAAAAAAAAAGATTGTTGCTGTTTTATTGCCATTATATTTATTTATTTTTATTTTATTTTTATGTCTTTTGTAACTCAGGCTGGTCTTGAACTCCTTATCCTTCTGCCTCTACTTTCCATGTTACCATATTGTCTTTTTAATTTTACTGTTTCTCTTTATTTAAAAAAATTTTTATTATTTTTATTTTATGTGTATGAGTGTATTACCTGCATGTATGTAAGAACATTTGTATCATGCAGTGCCTGTGGTGGTCAGAAGAGGGCATTGGATCCCTTGGAACCGGAGTTAGCCAGTTGTTAGCCACTACCTGGATGCTGGGAACCAAACCCTGGTCCTCTGCAAGAGCAGCCAGCATACTGCTGACCCATCTCTTCAGCCCCTTAGTCATCATTTTAAAGTTTGTTAACAAGCAACTTTTTTTTGATACAGCATCTTGCTATTTTGCCCAAGATGGCCTCAATCCTTCTGCCTCATCCTCCAGAGGACTGTGATTAAAGACATGAACCACCACTATACCTGGTTTATAACTACTGTTTTCAAATGTTGCTCTATAATCCAGTTGCAGTAAAATTTGGCCACTAAGATGCCTATCCATAAAGATGAAAGAAAGCTACCAATTGTGACAAACCCACAAATGACTGCCAAGTTTTTAACAAAGGCTTTTTCGCTCACATTTCACATAGAAGCAACTCCAGCTAGGTCTACCTTCAGAATATATCCAGACTCCAATCTCTGCTTCATTAACCTGCATTTTCAGAGTGCCCTTCTTACCAGTCTCTACTTTTGACATAGCAACAAGAGCAGAAAAACACAAATTAACTGGGTGGCTGTAGGCCAGCAATCCCAGCTACTTGGGAGACTTAAGCTGGGGATCACAAACTCATAAATTTTGCAGTCTACAAGATAAAGTGAAGGCTAGCCTGGGCAACTTAATAAGCTATTGTCTCAAACTAAAAAGGAAAAAAGTAAAACAAGTAACAGAAAAAAAAAGGGGGGGGGTATGTATATAGCTCAGCAGTAGAGTAATTGCTTAGCATGTACGAGTCCCTAGGTTCCATTCCTAGTTTGTGTATGTGTAGGATAGGGATTCGGGGCAATAAATTAGATGCACTCTTCTGTTCAGAGTTTGACAGTGGTTCTTAGCATGCCTGTAAAAGCCCAAGTCCTTACAACTCATTACTACCTGTAACTCCAGCTACAGGAGATCTAATGCACTGGCCGCCACAGGTACCACATACACATGACAGACACTCACATAAACATATATGTCCACATAAATTAAAACAAAACAATAAAGAAGAAAAAATGGGCCTGGGCAGGTGGTAACACCATGAGTTAGGCCACAGTTTCACATTAAACCCAAAAGAGAACAATATGATAAAAGTCCATGAGAAAGAGATAAAGTACTGAAACTTTCCTCCCCTCCCCTCCCTCCCTTCTTCTTTCTTATTTTGAGACAGGGTCTTGCTAAGCAGACAGGCTGTCCTCAAATGCAGTCTTCTTAGCTCAGCCTCCCCAGTGCTAGGATTAAAAGTATGTCACCAAACCCAGCTATTTACCTTGAAAGAATACATACTCAGAGCAAAATAAAAACCAGAAATAAAGTTACAGTATCTTCTTTCAACTGGTTTATAGACTAATAGAGTACTGTATATAAATGAATTATGGTTTCAAGTGGTAAATTCTGAAACAGAAACATGTATAATGTAACAGATCTATTTGTTAAGGGCATAAGATAAGGCTCCCTGAATATGTAACTAAATTAGCTTTTGAAACATCAGTAAGAGTTTATCAGTGAGCAAGCAGCAGAAACTCTAGATAGAGCGAGATACAGGCAACAACATGGAAAGACAGCACAAGAAGGAATCTAGGGAATAAAATGGCAGAGATTAAGGCAACTGAAGATAGGACTGTTGGGGAAAGCAGAAGCCAGAATCTACAGGTAATGCGAACCAGAGAACAAGAAAGATGGAGCTCAAGATGTGTTTTGGGCCAGGCTTGGTGGCGCATGCCTTTAGTTCCAGCACTTGGCAGGCAGAGGCAGGTAGATAGCTCTGTGAGTTCAAGGCCAGCCTGGTCTCCATAGTGAATCCAGGCCAGCTGCGGCTACAGGAAAACCCCCCCCCAAAAAAAAAAAAAAAAAAGATGTGTCTTGGAAAAACTGTTCTCTGGTGATGGGAAAAAATAATTAAGACACAGTGAGACAGTTAGGAACTGTTGCAACTGAGCAGACAAGATGAGGCAGAGATGATACGGGCTAAATGACACCATCTCCTATTTCTGTTTTCACAATGAAAAAAAGTCTTCTAACCAAGTATCTGTATCATCTATGTCTGCACTTTAAAAAATATTTTTATATTTTATTTTATGTGTATGAGTGTACTGCCTGCATGTAAGTGCACCTGTGTCATACAATGTGCACAGAGGTCAGAAGAGGGCATTGAATTCCCTTGGAACTGGAATTATAGATGATGTTAGCCATCATGTGGGTGCTGGAGATTGAACCTGGGTTCTCTGCAAGAGCAGCCGGTACTCTTAACAGCTAAGTCATCTCTTTAGGCCCTATGTCTGCATTTTTAAGACCCTTACAAAATAATCGGGGGGGGGTCCTTATTTGTATTTGCTTAAAATATATATAAAACCAAAGTGCTGGGCCTGGTGGTTTAGGCTTATAATGCCAACTACTCAGGATGCTGAGGCAGGGGTATCACAAGTTCAGGCCCCGCTTGGGTTACAGACCAAGTTAAATGCCACTTTGGGCAATTTATTGAGACTCTCTCTCTTTTTCTTTTGGTTTTTCTGAGAAACAGTCTCCCTGTAGCCCCAGCTGGCCTGGAACTTACTATGTAGACCAGGTTGGCCTGGAACTCACAGAGATTCACTTGCCTCTGCCTCCAAGTGCTGGAGTTAAAGGCCTGCACCACACCCAGTGAGACTCTCTCAAAAAACGGTTGGGGATATAGTTCAGTGGTGAAGTGTTTGCCTACCGTACATGAGACCCTGTCTCAAACAAAACAGAACAAAAAAAACAAGCAAATAAGAAAAAAAACAGGTAAGAAGTAACCTACTGAGGAGGACAGGAAAGGGTAGGGGCAGAAACCAAGACAGGAAGTAGAGACCTCACCGTGTGTCTTTTTGTATTTTCTGGTTCCTAAACTGTGTGAATGTATTACTTAAAAATTACTATCAAACTATATCTCTACCCATTTAGGCATATTTGTTACCTGTATGTGTTTCCACATTCTTCAGCACATGGTTCTGTTTGCCTCGGGGAAAAGGCGGTATCACTGGAGAATCCTGTCTCCTTACAGTATTTTTCTCTTGGTCAGCCCTTCTGGAAGATTTGACACCTGCTAAATTCCCAGTGTCACAAGCCGATTTTGTTGGTCTTTCTCTGAGATTATCTTTTGGAATGGGGGACATGTTTTTGGGTCCTGTATTCGTATGTCGCTGACTCTCCTGCTTTGGCGGATTCCTGCCTGGTCGTGGTCTGGCCCCCTCTACTTCCCAGGGAGGCCTTTTCTGAGGGTATCTTCTCTGCTCATTTTTCCTGGACACATATCCATCTACTATGCCTTTTCTACAGGACGCATCTGAAGTGTCAGGATGGGAAATCCCCACAGATTTGCTATTTTCATCCTCAGATTTTGGACTCATTCTGTTATTCCATTCGCATTTGAGTTTCCCCTTGACCTTTGGTCCTCTACCATAGCTGTATATAAGCTGTGCTGCTTTTTTAGGTTTTGCTCCCCTAGGATCTGCAATGACAGCTTCCTTCTCACTTTCGGATGGGCTACACTCTCTAGGGTTTGTCCCACTGTCTGATCTGGCCACACTTTCTAAACTAGATGTATCTGAGGTCTGCTCAGTGAGCCCTTGTGCTTTCTTGACTTTGTTATGGTGCTTTTCATTCTTCAATTTTTGCCAAGGCTGACTCTGAAGGCCATGGTTCTTGACTGATTTATTAGAAGACTGGAAAAAATTTTGTTGACTCTTAGGTTTGCTTCCCAAAGGATAACTGTGCTGATGAATAGCAGAGATGTCATCGTAAGGGATCTGCCTGGAAAGGTGACAGGGAGGTGATGAACTATAATTTCTTCTGCCAATCCTATTAGAGTCTGGCCTTCTTTGAGTCCCACAATTTAGACCAGAATTTTTTCTCTCCTGAGGAATGAACTCAGCAGCATCTGTATTGAATTTAAAAGTACCTAGGAAATAACAAGTAGACAAGCAAGTAATTAACGTGTCACTTATGAAGCCCATAAGACTCTAAAAATCACAACTAAAAAGTATTTTGCTAAGGACATTATATAAAACAGGCTTAGTGAGAACTGTTTCTTGTAAAAGTGACAGGCTCAAAGTACTTGTGGAGGACTATAATCCCATGCCTAGCAGCAACACTTACAGCCACTGACAGCCTAGGCCATGAAGTACTATGAACACACATTTATTTTCCAAAAATATTGACGGAAGGGCAAAGCCAGGCATGGTTATACACATCCCTTGAAGGTACAGGCAGGAGATCCAAGAGTTCAAGGGTAGCCTGGGTCACAGAGTGAGACCCTGTTTAAATAAAAAAATAAAGGTCAGGGAGCAGTTTAGGGATGAGATACTGGTCAGAAGGTTCCATGTGGCTTTTCCAAAACACTAAAGTAGTCTTGCATAACAGCAAGTAAATAGGCTTGGAAATCAGCTAAAATGGGATTAAAGCCCATTACAATTTATGAGCTTAGGGCTAGTATTTGACTACCTTTAGCCTTAGTTTCCACATCTATAATAAAAGATAACAGTATTTATTTCAAAGGTTATAACACCTAAATAAGATTTCATATGGGTAGTACTAGCACAATGAATATACTAGTTTCCATCTCTTCCCCTTAGGAATATACTTTGGGTTTTTCATATATAACACCTATAACATGCTCTAAAATTGGCATGGGGGGCAGGGGGGTTTCCTCAAAGGCCAGTCACCTGCAATGTTAGGAGATGCCCTGCTCTAACCTACACAGTCAGCAAAGGCGTTCTGTAAGGTATGAAACTATTTCAAAAACAAACATATACACACTAAATAAATAAATAAATACATACATACATACATACATCTTAGTTCGCTCTTCAGCCCATCATTTTCCCCCTACCTCAAATGATTCTAAATATAATGAACTCAGTTCCTGAAGCCCAAAGAAATGATTTACCTAATCACAAAAAAAGTAACAAAATCAGAACTATATGTAACATATAGATTATACTAGCAATCAACAGGGTCCAAAATACATGAATTTAAGTCCCTGTACATCATTTACTGTGTCTTTTAAAATTATCTATATAGGGGGCTAGAAAGATGGCTCAGTGGTTAAGAACACTGACTGCTCTTACAGAGGGCCTCGGTTCGATTCCCAACACCCACATGATGGCTAACAACCATCCACAACTCCAGTTCCAGGGGATCCGATGCCCTCTTCTAACCTCCTCAAGCACTGTACAGCATAGGCACACTTACATGCATGCAGGCAATACACTCATTCACATAAAATAAAAATAATAAAATATTTTTTTAAATTATCTATCTTCTATCTTTTGAAGCAGTGCCTTACTATATAGCCCAGGCTGATCTCAACCTATGATCCTCAGCCTCAACCTTCTGAGTGCTGTAATTTCATGTGTAACACTATCACATCCTGCCTTAGCTCACCTTTATGTATTACTTAGCCCCAGTTTTCTTTTGTATAATAGAAGCCATAACAATCCCTACATCAGAGATGCTATGAAAAATAAAGCAAATTAATAGCATGCATAAAGTAGTTAAAATGGTGCTTTATTATTGTTTTTAGGGCTACAGGCTATCAAGCACAGATGAGCACAGTGTAGAACCTGTGAACTCCAGGTTTAACAATAAGGCCTAACATTTATTAGATATTTTGTATATGCCATATACTCTTATAAGCACTCTCCATATATTTACTTATTCTTTTTTTTTATGTTTATGTATACAGGCATCTGTGAGTATGTGTCTGCCATGTGGGTGCACATGCTCATGGAAGCCACATAAGGGCATCAGATCCCCTGGAAATGGAGTTATGGGCGACAGTGAGCAGCCTGACCTGGGTACTAGAAACCAAACTTGGATCTTCTGGAAGAGCAGCAAGTGCTCTTAACCACTGAGCCATCTCTCCAGCTCTGTTAACATGTAATCTTCACATTCCTGATGAGAAAACCACAGCAGAGTAACTTGCCCAAGGCCTCAGGTACTCCAAGGCAAGCTCAGGATTCTAACTCAGGATATGTAGCAATAGTGACCATGCCCTTACACTTGCACTGCACACTGACAGATACCATAGAAACATAGTGAAGAATTGAACGAGAGCATAAAGGTCACAGGGAAACCTCTCATTTAATCCAGAATTTGCCCCAAACAGTTTTATACAGGTAGAGTCCTGGACATGAAGGGCCTCACAAAATGGCAAGAGGATCAGATAAAATCAGAGGTGGCAGAAGTAGTCTGGAAACATGAGATAATTTAAAGGTGGGAATGGGTAAACTGGGCCAAGAGGTATTATACAGTTCTCTCCTGTTTGAAGAAGAAAGGCTGGAGAGGGGTAGAAAAAACATCAGTAAAGTTGCCCCAAATAGCCCAGTATATGATGAGGAAAAATGATGAGGATGTTTCATACTGAGCAGTAATGAATAGATCTAAACAAAGCTAAACCTATCCATATCGTTTATATTTTCATTAGACCTAAGGCAAAACCCTCAGAAGATCCTAGGAGACATGAGGAAAGGAAAATGAACACACAAATCAGAAAAATGGACCATGGCAAAGATCATGCTTCTTTCACTATGTGAAGTAAATGGAAGCTCCTCAGTGAGTGAGATGTTTCCTCACCAAGGCATCACTATAATACACGGGGTACCAGAGATGCAAGGTAATCCAGCTACACTAGGTATTATGCAACAGGTGAAGACAGCAAATAAGGGGATGTCCAACTGGTGTTCATAAAGTCCAGAGACAAAGATGGAATTGGAAAGTCTACCCGTGAGAAAAACATTCTTCTTGGATTAGGCTGACCTTTATTTAAGGAACTTTGTTGGAGGGAGGTGACTTGTGAACTGGAGATAATGCTAAAGTGGGAGCAAGGACTAGGAACTAGAGTGAAAAAAACAAACAACAACAACAAAAAGGCAAGGATTTCCCAGACAGGGGGATTCAGGAAATGCTTTATGGAGTGGAGCAAAGGCCAAAACTTCTGAGTCACAACTAGCCCTCACTCAATTCTGCTTCAAATAATGAAGGGTATGGAATGAGTCAGGAGGGAATGTGAAGATGAGATCAGCAGATCCAGGTTAGAGGTAAAGGCCTAGAGGGAGCAAATAACAAAATATACCTAAAGGTTTTCCCTCCCCAAGATGACTTTATACCCAAGTTAGGGACACAATGTGTCCTTCCACTTTTGAAACCAAAACTCACACAATAAGTAAACAAACACACAGCTTCATCAGTTGGTCAGAAGCAGAACTATATTTCAAAGCAATGAGTATTTCTATGCTGGACACACTGCTGTACTGATTTTCAGACAGCGGGCCATGAGATCAAATCAGTGTAGCAGATTGTGACAAGTTTGGGGGGTTTTTTTGTTTTGTTTTGTTTTTTTTGTCTTTTTGAAGCAGGTTCTCCCTGTAGCCCCAGCTGGCCTGGAACTCACTATGTAGACCAGGAACAAAGTGAGAATACGGAAAGCTGCAAAAGAAAAACAACAACTTACATATAAAGGAAAACCCATCAGAATTACAGTTGACTTAGCAATGCAAACTATAAAAGCCAGAAGAGCCTGGACCAAAGTATTCCCAGTTCATTTTATTTTTATTTTTATTTATTTTTTTGGTCTTTTTGGAGCAGGGTCTCCCTGTAGCCCCAGCTCTCCTGGAACTCACTATGTAGACCAGGCCGGCCTTGAACTCACAGAGATCCACCTGCCTCTGCCTCCCAAGTGCTGGGACTACAGGCGTGCTCCATCACGTCCAGCTCAAGTATTTTTTTAAAAAAACAAAACATCAGAGTATGTTGCTGATTAAAGGGAAACTATCGCTTCTTGAAACATTTCGTTCACTTTTAAATTTACGGTGTAAGTGTACACTAAGATCCAGATGCAAAATGGTTCGTTTTGGTCGCTGTCCACAAAACTGGAAACTACAGAGCTACCAATACGCCATGAGGAAATAGAAATGGCCTTCTATTCACAGTCAAAGGAGGCTGTCTCTACACTCTCTTAACTCCTGGAGGGGAAGTGAGCTAACAATTGCGGAACAGGTACGGTCCAGGAATGAACTTATTGACTCCCAACTGACAGATGAGGAGACAGACTACCAAAGTCTGAGGTTTCGAACCAACCCAGGTCCGGCTGGCGCGAGCCGCCACTCCGTGGAGTGAGAACACACCCCGAACACAGCGCGCAAACTCGCTGGCCTCCGGGGCCCGCCACAGTGACGGGCGCCGACTTGGCCGCCGCCCGCCCGCCGGACTCAGCGCCGCACCGCCCGGGGAAGGCCGGAATGAGCCCCGCGGAAGTGTGGGACGCCCATGTCCGCTCCCCGGGCGCTGGGGCAGCCCGCTGTCCAAGGAAACCCATTCGCCAGGCTTCACCACCCAGTGAAGATGGTGGAGGGCTGCGGACGTGCGGCGCGCGTGGCGTGGCCCTTCTGAGCCACTGTCCCTGCGCCAGCACGCGCCCCGAAGGACCGGAACCCTTCCGACCTCTCGCCGATTAAACTGCCGGTCCCCCAGAAAAGCCGGGTCCCGCACGGAGACCGGACAGTACCTGAGACCGGAGGCGCTTCCGCCATCCCGTGCCGCAGCACCCCGAGTGAGCCCAGGCACCGAGAGAGCACTGTCGGCCGGTCACGAGCCCCGGACTTCCGGCGCTGAGGAGAATTCGCCGCTGCGCGGGGCGGACGGCCGCTGGGGTTGCGCGGCCCGAAAGCACTGGGCGCGTTGCGTTTGGGACGTCAGCGACGCGGGCGGGCTCCGGGCGGAAGGAGGAGGCGGGAGACCGGAGGTGCCCTGGAGCCCAGCGGGGGACTTGCGTAATCGGTATTTTTCGTTTCGTGACGCGCGGTATTCTCCAGCTTCTAGGCCCGTTTGCCCTGCCTTGCAGCCAACTTCACCTGGTGTCCAGATACAATCTACCTGGAGTAGCACTGTCCGGCGGAAGGGAGGGGGCACTTTAATAGTCTAGAAGCAATGTTTGTGTGTGCAGGGGGAGTCAGCAAAACAGACAAAAAAAGGCTGCCTGTTGTGGTAGAGCACGCATGTAATTCCAGAACTAGGGAGGCTGCGGCAGGAAGATCCTGAGCTAACTCGGGCGAGCCTGTCTCAATAAAACTAAACCAAACAATAGTAAGGGGCTAATTGCAAAGAGCTCTTACAAAGCAGCCATAAAATGGTAATTGAGTAGGCAAATGACAAATACAAATCTACACCGAGAGAAAGTTTGGAGTTACTTTTTTTCTTTTTTTTAACACCAGAGTTCATCATGTAGCCTCAGAATGGCCTTCAATTTATCTTCCTTTCTTCAGCCTTCAAAGTGCTGGAATTACAGGCGTGCTCCACCATGCCCAGCTAGAAACGCAACATTTTAAGGTTTCAGTTTACTTTGGTTGTTGCTTGATTCCAAGCAATACACCCAAGGCCTTGGGTGGTGGTGCATGCTTTTAATCCCAGTACTCGGGAGACAATCAGATCTCTTGAGTTCCAGGCCAGGTTGATCTACACATAAAGTTCTAGGTCAACTAGGGCAACATAAATAAGACCCTGTCTCAAAAAAACAAAACAAAAATCCAGTCCCCCAAATATATACATCCAAGATGCCTATGGCCACTTTTTTTTTTTTTTTTTTTCCCGGAGCTGAGAACCGAACCAAGGGCCTTGTGCTTGCTACGCAAGCGCTCTACCACTGAGGTAAATCCCCAACCTGGCCCATGGCCACTTTTGTCATGGGAATTTGTACTCCTTTTAATGCCTAATCCTATAAACTGAGAAGTCCATTCTAATGGGTGGTTTAAACTGCCCTTAACCCAGCAAATCTGGGAATCCTTTAGGAATCCATTATGTTTGCAAAATTAACCCACAAGGGCCATGTGTGATGATGGTGCATGCTTGTATCTCATGCAGTAGTGAGACACCAGAGAGATGGGAGAGAGGAGGGGAGAGAATGGAATTTTGTAGGACTGCAGACTCAACTAGCTTCTTTGGAATTTGGAATGTCATTATACTTCTTGCTCTCCAACACAGAAGACCTCCCTTAGCCAGCCATGGTGGCACAGGCCATTAATCCCAGCATTTAGGAGGCAGAGATTGGGAGATCTCTGTGAGTTTGAGAATAGCCTGGTCTACACAGCAAGTTCCAGACCAGCTGGAGCTACAGGGAAACCCTGTCTCAAAAAACAAAAGTTAAAAAAAAAAAAAAAAGACTTCCCTTAGTTCTCCAAAGTCCAACAAAGACCAAGATGTAATGTTTAAAAAACTTTGAACAAAGGCTTGAAGATTATAAAGTCTATTGAAGACAGTTTTTCATTGACACCAAATTAACCACACGGAGGCAGAATGATCTTATCTCTGTCTACACCAGAAATTCTACATGTGGCAGAGTTCTGGCTTAATTGTCACAAATGGGAACCTCCATGATCTTACATTGTTCTACGATGAACCCTGTGCACTAAAGTTCTCTCAAGAAGCCACATGTGTGCTGGAGGTTCTGCTGACTCAGAATTTGTGATGTGGAGAGATGGAGTGTAACAGATAGAGGGACCAAACTACCTTGGATTATTTTTAGTCCCTTTAATAACTGTTTACTACCAACCTCTTTATCTGACCTAACATCTTTGTGATTATTTGGAATGTACTGCTAAACTGCAGACCATACTAATCCTAAAGCTAAGAATGTTATGACATCTGAAACCTAAAGATTTCCCCACTGTGCTTGCTGTAACCCATCTACTCAATGTTCCCACCACTGAATTTGATAAATGCATGGATTTGTGACTTTCTTTTGTTGTGCAACTGTAAAAGTTCTAGTAACCCCTTCTACAGTAGAACATGTCGTTCAGGGTAACCTTAATCTGTGTTTCCAGATCATATTTACTCATAATTGATCCCAAATAAACTATCATTTATGCCTTTTAGAACAAGAGTTGTGTTTTGGCTCAACAACCTGGAGACTTAAAGAAACTCCTATTTATGTGTTCATCCAGGTTTTCCTGAAGTGACTGACAGTAAGAACACCCCCTTCCATCTACAGTGTAGACTCTGTGGTTAAAACAAAATAATCACCATAATTTACTGAGTAGCTCCCACAATATGATTGATTAAATGTTAACCAGTTCACAAGTGGGGGAGTAAAAGTCAGTTGAGGAAGTGCTACACCAATCTCTGTCCAGTTCTTTGCTAGAATCTTCATTGGTAGTAAATGTCTTCTCAGACTAGGCCTATGTATGCCCTTTGCTGTCATTCAGTGTTCTGATCTTCTTTGAGAACATGCTTGTGATACACACAATTCTTGAAGAATAATTTCCAGATATAAGGTAGCTTAGAAAGCAAATATAGCCTGTTCTCCATAGTGAATCTTGGCCAGCTGTGGCTACAGGGAGACCCTGTCTCAAAAAGACAAAAAAAAAAAAAAAAGTAAATATAATGTAAAAATACAATTGTGTAGAACCTAGTTCTTGCTGAACTATACCATGACATTGCATTACTAGGTAAAATAAGTAAAGAATTTGCATCTGTCAGATAATTCATTACTTCATTCTTCTCTAGGAAGAATGAAATAGATTAATGCATTAACATAACATTTTAATGTCTACTCTATCTTGAACATTGACATAAATTCTGGAGGTACCCAGCACTTGGGAGGCAGAGGCAGGTGGATCTCTGTGAATTCAAGGCCAGCCTGGTCTACATAGTGAGTTCTAGGTCAGCTGGGGCTATAGGGAGACCCTGTCTCAAAAAGACCAAAACCCCCCAAAAATGTTGGAGGAAAATGATGAAAAGACAGATGTGGTCACTAACACAGATGCTAACAATTGTCACAAACAAAATAACATTAATGCTACAAAAAATAAGTGTGGTAGTGGTGACAAATTATTAGGATCTGCTCCAGGAAAAGGGGCCAAACTTCTTTGGATAGAATTAAGGTTGAGAAAGAACAAGCCATGGAAATTCAGGCAGAGAGAATAGCATGTGCAATCTCTGAGTAGAGGGAAAGAATTTCAAGTATTCAAGGTACAAAAACATCTGTGGTCAGTGGCTGGAGAATACTGGAAGAATAAATGGCACCTTATGAACTAGCAGGGCTAAGTGGAGAGAAGTGATGCCAAAGGGCAATGAGAAATTCTCGAAGGGTTCTAGGCGAAGAGTGGCATCTAATTTGTACTTAACGTTCCTCTTGCTCCCATGGGAAGAATGAGTTCTAAAGGATAAGAATAGAAGTGGGAGTCCTGCATATTGAATCTCAGCCTGCAATCCTAGCACTCAGGAGGCCAAGGCAGGAGGATCATGAGTTCAAGGCCAGCCTGAGCCACCTGGGGAGAAACTGTCTCAAAAAAACAACAAAAAGAAACAGAAGTGGGTGGACAGACCAGTCACATTTTTGCACTTTAGTAGTGCAGAAGATATGGTGGCCTTGGACTAGAGTGAAAGCCGACATGATGGAGAGAATGGAACAAAACAAGTACATGTGAACCATATAACTTTGTTTAGTTTCAAACATTTTCCAACAAACAGGTAGAATATCTTATTTTGGTTTTCTCTAATTACTAATGAATTTGAAGATTTTTGTTGGTTGTTTTTTGAGACAGGGTCTCCCTGTAGCCCCAGCTGGCCTGGAACTCACTATGTAGACCAGGCTGGCCTGGATCTCATAGAGATCGGCTTGCCGTTGCCTCCCAAGTGCTGGGATTAAAGATATGTGCCACCAACAACCTGCTGAAGATTTTTTAAAAGCAGGTCTCATGCCAGGAATGATGGTACATGCCTTTTGGCCCAGTACTCAGGAGGCAGAAGCAGGTGGATCCCTGTAAAATTGAGGTTAGCTGATCTACATAAAGAGTTCCAGGCCAGCTGGAACTACAGAAAAAAAAAACAACAGCCGGGCGTGGTGGTGCATGCCTTTGATCCCAGCACTTGGAGGCAGAGGCAGGTGGATCTCTGTGAGTTCAAGGCCAACCTGGTCTACATAGTGAGTTCCTGTGCAGGAAACCAGGATGCCAGGCCCTAGGGTGAGGTGACCCTAAAACTTAGAGGTCCAGGCTGCATTCTCTGCTAAAGGGAGGGGCACTAAAAACAGAGGCTCTGATAATCCCTGTCTTGCAGAACACTGTTGGGCTGGCAGGAGGAAGCGGCCTGGTCATAAAAGTGCAGGCTCCCTGCTCTGTGGGAAAGCGTCTTGGTCAACAACCCTTAGCTCATCTCCTTGTCCTGAACAAATAACTCAGGTATCCCTGGCTAAGAGATTAGGCCAGGTTAAAGGTTTACTCTTGAGCTAAAAGCTAAAAGTTCACCATGCTTTTAGCTCTAAGGAAGAAAACATTGTGTCCAATATGTTACTGGATGGGCATTGATAACCTTGAGTAAGTTTAAGAATCCTTCTGGCGCCAACTAACAGACTAAATGTCCTGTTTCTTTGTACCCTAAATCTTTGTATGTGACTGCCATACCCCACATGACTGCTAGTTCCTTGGGATGTATAAAAACCTTCTAAATTTTAAAATTGTCCTGTTGGGAAGACACAGGTCCCAGAGTTTATGACTCTGTTGCGGATCAAACCCTCTGCCCCGAAGCCAGCAGGTCTCCTGCTAAGCAAAGCAAACCTGAGTCCCGACATTCCAAGACAGCTGGGGCTACAGGGAAACCCTGTCTCAAAAAGACCAAAAAAAAAAAAAAAAAAAAAAAAAAAAAAAAAAACCAAAGTAGCAGCACCCCCACAAAAACAAAAACAGGTCTCATTGTATAGCCAAGGTAGGTCTTTAACCTCACAATCCTTTTGCTTAGCCTCTCTAGTGCTATGATTTACAGGTGTACAGCACCACACCTGGTTTGAGTTAGAACATTTTAAAAGTTTCATTACATTAATTTTGTGTGTGTGTGTGTGTGTGTGTGTGTGTGTGTGTGTGTGTGTGTGTATGAACACATGTGCCACAGTGTGGGTGTAGAAGTCAGAACAACTTGTGGTAGTTCTCTCCTTCTACCATGTGGGTCCTGGAGATCAAACTTGTCAGTGTTGGGACAAGTACTTTTACCTGCTGAACTATCTCACCAACACAAGTTTCAACGTTTTTTTGAAGACCTGTTGGCTTTTCTCTTTTATTATTATTTTTTATTATTTACTATTTTATTTTATGTGTATGAGTATATTGCCTGCATGTATGTAAGTTTACCCATGTTGTACAATGCCCACGAAGGTCCAAAGAGGGCGTTGGATCCCCTGGAACTGGAGTTAGGATGGTTATTAGCTACCATGTGGATGCTGGAAATTGAACCCCAGTCCTCTGCAAGAACAGCCAGTACTCTTAACCACTGAGCCATCTCTCCAGTCCCAGATTTTCTCTTCTAAATTACTTATTAATGTCCATTGCCTATTTTTCTGTTAGGGTTACTGCATTTTTCTTGATTGTAGTTTCATATCTCGCTATGTATTTTATTTTATTATTTTATGTGTGTGTATGCCCGTGTACCACATGTATGCAGGTGCCCAGTGGAGGCCAGAAGAAGTTGTTGGATCAGATTAAACTGGAGGTACAGGTGGTTTTGAGCCACTTGATGTGGAAGCTGGAAATTGAACACAGTCCTCTGCAAGAGCAGCAAGTGCTCTTAGGGCTAAGTCAATTCTCCAGCCCTGGTCCCACTGTTCTTACAGACTGTTCCTGATTTTTCTTTTTTCCTTTCAAATTAAATTTGATTTTTCATTTTTTATTAAAAATAAAAAAGAGGCTGGAGAGATGACTGTGATTAAGAGCACTGGCTGCCCTTGCAAAGAACCCTGGTTCAGTTCCCAGGACCCACATGGCTAACAAACGTCCATAACTCCAGTTCCAGGGGATCTTACACCCTCATCTGGCCTCCATGAGCATTGCATAACATGCGTTAAGTGCACACTTACATACATGCATGCAAAACACTCTTACACATAAATTAAAAATAAAATTAAATAAATTTCCAAGTGCATGAGTCTGGTTTTAATCAAGAAATAAGAACCGCCGGGCGTGGTGGTGCACGCCTTTAATCCCAGCACTCGGGAGGCAGAGGCAGGCAGATCTCTGTGAGTTCAAGGCCAGCCTGGTCTACATAGTGAGTTCCAGGACAGCTGGGGCTACAGGGAGACCCTGTCTCAAAAAGACAAAATAAATAAATAAATAAATAAGAATTATGAAGTAGTTTTTGTTTTTATTTTTGGAGACAAGGGTCTTTATCTATAGCCTAGGCTGGCCTGGAATTTACTATGTAGCCCAGGCTGGTGTGGAATTTGTGGCTATCCTTCTGGCTTTGCATCCCCAATGCTGTGATTACGGGCATGAATCACAATGCCTGCTCACATAAGAATTTGAATATGGAAAGTTTTATTTAAAGACTTAACTATAACAGGGATGAGAGGTAGAAAGTAAGGGAACTCTAAAATGAATACAGAATAGGCAGGTGTAAGGAACACCTGCTTCTAGGACTGAGATTGTCCCAAGGACAGTCCAGACAGGGATGAGGTGCAGACCTTGCTGGAGGAAATGCCCAGGACTCACTGGATGACAAAGAAATATTCAGACATCTCTCTTCTAGGGTTCTCTCTCCTGCCATTCTAGAAGTAGCATCCCATAGAGGCACTGCACTGTAAATCACCTCCAAGGAAAGGAGACGTTTCTAAGTCCTGGCAGATACTGAAGAAGCCAGGTATGTTGAAGGGGCCAGGCAATGGGAAAGTTGCTCACACTGCAGAAACCTGTCCAGCTGAAACTGCAGAAACAGGAAGTAAAACCCTTCTTCCTGCTTTGACTCTCTAATGCCCTCCACTGAGAGAGGCCAATACCTGTCAGCTGCCAAAGGATAAAAGGGCCCAAATGTACTTCAAAGAGCAAGAGAAAGAATACATTCAGAGTTGGAGACATGGCTCAGAAATTAAGAGCACATACTGCTCTTGC